GATGCAAAAAAAAAAAGAAAGAAAGAAAAAAAAAATGCGTATGCAACGCGCCTCGCCCCGTGCTTCTCCGAATGTTAAACAGACCGCGGTGGATTATGCGGTTGGATTTTAAGTATGCGTGCCCGATCCCTACCGATGCGGACAGGTTACGCGAAAATGTGCGCTTCTACCTCTCCCTCTACAAAGTTAGGTTATGCTCTCGGCTCAACCGTGTCGCGCGCGTGATCAATGACGCCCTCGAGCGTCGCTTTTCGGTAAATTTTGCTTCCACGAACGCGATACAAATTGAATAGGAGGGATTCGGGTGGGATGATTCTTGGAAATGAAACGTACGGAAACTCGTTCTAGTCCGTGAGTGGAATTATTTAAGAAATATATATATATATATATATATATATATATTTTCGTCTTTCTTGGGAAGAGATGTTTATGCGAAAGTTGGAAATTGTGTTTCGATTCTTTTTTTTTTTTGTCGAGAAAATTTTTGAAGTAAAATAAAATCTCGAAATTTATTCGTAAATGATAACGAAACGAAAATAAAATATATCGAGAAAACTGGAAACTGTGGAAAGATGCGTGTTACGCCTACGCGAATTATCATATTTTTAACGAGTACACGAGATCTCTATAATTATGTTACGCGATTGAATTATATCGTTTCTGGTATGCGAATTAAAAATTTTACACCTACGTCCTAACAAGCATAATTTAGAACGGTTGAAAGGCTTTATTAACGCGAGAATTGAACCAATTGTGTGTACCGTGCGTTCAAGAAAGAATTCCGCTTTCTAATTCTTTAATCGATTCGATCCTCGGTTTGTTAATTCTTCGTGAAGTCATCAGATCGGAACGGATCATCCGGTAATATAATAACACGAATTCGGTTGGAAAGGCCAACTTAAAAGGAAACTTTCGATTTCAATTTGTGTACAATGAATGAGCACAAAGGACTTTCAATTTCGGTATCACTATTTTTTTTCTTTCCTTTTCTTTAACACCGATAATTCATACACTGAATCGATCTTTCCTTTCCTTCCATTCTATCCTAGATTTATCTCAGTCCTTTCAAAACATCATACAAAAATATCCGAAAGCGTCTTTTTCCGTCGAGTCCAAAAAACCAACATCAATGTCCTCTAACACGCTTCAGCTAATTTAAAAAAAAAAGAAAAAAACAATTATTAAAACTCGTTTAATCGGGTAATTCTAGTATCTAGAAAATTCTATCCAATAGTGTATTTTTTTGAGTTNCAAAAAACCAACATCAATGTCCTCTAACACGCTTCAGCTAATTTAAAAAAAAAAGAAAAAAAAATTATTAAAACTCGTTTAAACGAATAATTCTAATATTTAGAAAATTCTATTCGAAAGCGTCTTTTTCCGTCGAGTCCAAAAAACCAACATCAATGTCCTCTAACACGCTTCAGCTAATTTAAATAAAAGAAAAAAACAATTATTAAAATTCGTTTAATCGGGTAATTCTAGTATCTAGAAAATTCTATCCGAAAGTATCTTTTTCCGTCGAGTCCAAAAAACCATCATCAATGTCCTCTAACACGCTTCAGCTAATTTAAATAACAGAAAAAAACAATTATTAAAACCCGTTTAATCGGGGAATTCTAGATTCTAGAAAATTCTATCCGACAGTATCTTTTTCCGTCGAGGCCAAAAAACCAACATCAATGTCCTCTAACACGCTTCAGCTAATTTAAAAAAAAAAAAAGAAAAAAATAATTATTAAAACTCGTTTAAATTAGTAATCGGGTCATTTTAGTATCTAGAGAAGCAAAAGCGTAATTTCCTCTTCGCGATCAATTTAATATCCATTTTTACGAACATTCTAAACAAAGTGTCGTCACACTGCTCTCGCGTCCATAATAAATTCGCGAAAGTAAAAAGCCAGCCCGAATGCGTGCAACTACACCAAGAGGAAAGTTGGATCGAATGCAACGGTAAATTCGTATTGTCAAGGCAAGTGTTACGGTTTCAGCTTGGCATGCCGATCCTAACAGTACTCGATGATGGCCGGCATGGCATGGCTCTCCTCGATGACCAACCTTTGCAACACGATGCAACGCTATTGCACTCGAATGTGATACCATCATACCATAGTTACGCGCTCTCTGTGAAAGTTACGATCAAATCCTTCCCTTTGTAACCATTTATTTTCATTTCTCATTGTAAGAGATATATATATTATATATATATATATAAGTGAAAGCTTGATTACGATCGATTTGATAAAAATAATTCGTAACAGTAATCTAAACGATTATTTACCAATTGTATCGAAGAAAAGGTTTTTAAGGAGAGGAAGAAGAAATATGGTTAACGTAACCTTGTTCGAACAAGTTGAAATTCACCTCGATTTTTTAAGCTGTTCCGTGAATTATACGCATTACGCGTTTACCGGTTAATGGATTATGCAAATCGATCAATAGGTATATGGGTTTGCAACGTGTGTGCTTACCTGTGCATACTCTCAACACGAGTGGCACTCTTCTTCTTCGAGTCATCTCACCGTTCGTTAGATCTCCCCGTGGAATCTGCAACGAAAATTAAAATTCGATTTACGCTCGTCCGTTAATGACTCGTTACTCGTTTTTTACTATTTGCCCGAATGATTAGACACGTTTCTCGATTCATCTAAGTTTTCAATAACGTTCTTTTCTCAATTCTTTTTTCATCGAAGGATTTTTTGGCCAATATGTTTTTCGATCAACGCGTGTATTATTTAATTTTTTTATGGATAAAAATTTTTGTTGTATTTTTTTAATTGCATGCGTTCGTTTCTTTCCAAGTAAAATAAATTATTCGCGTTGAAATATTATTGTAAAGTTTTTATCGATCGTTTAATATCTATTTTTAATTACACTGCCTTTCAATATCGTCCTTGTCGATGTCCAATCAATCGTAACGAAGATGAATGCTTCTCGAACGCGGTTTCTCGCGCGGATAGCTTTGTATTATTTTTTTCGACGAAAATGAACGATCGATTCTCCATTGCTCGCAAAAAAGTTTAATAGATACAAAGAAAAAAAAGAACAAAAAAAATAGGTATATTTAAAAGAGCATCAAATTTCAGAAACATCCTCTATTGTTAATAACAATAATAAAATTAAGTTAATAATATAATAATAAAATTCTTTATTGTTGATAATCTACGTTAATAATAAAAATGGATTTCATTCGCAAGAGGAGAGTAACAATATTTTCCCAACGAAAAAGCAAAAATTTATCCTCGCATTTAAAATTCCCACGTGTCCGAACTGTCCATCGTGAAAATAAAATCAAGCGGAGCAGAAAAGCGATGCAAATTTTCATTGCGGTTGTCGCGGAAATGATACAAGGGGAAAAAAAAAAAGAAGAAAAAAAGAGAGAAAGAGAGAGAAAAGGACGGTAATAGAAAGTTAAAAGCCGAGCGTAACTTTTACACTGGCCTCGAGTCCGGTGGAAAATTTCCAACGTTTCGACTCGTCGGTGTGTTCGTAATTCGACGTGGAGGATCAGACGAATACGCTGAGTTTTTGCCCGACACACCTTCGGCGATCCATTGTCCTTCCTGAAGATGGATAAACGCATGGATGTGTGACCTCGTTCGCCACACGCCCCGTGCTTTAATCCACCGGGGCGGAAGTTGGAGGACGAGTTGGAAACGTTTTATGGAAGCTCCTGTAGACGATCGTGTAATGAGTTTCCACGCGATTTCGACTTTGCATCGTTCGCAATGTACCGACGGTTGATAAAACCGGTCGGGTATTCGGGGTGAAGGGTTTGAACCTGAGGAATGTTGATGTATCGGAGATTAGATTTCTAGATAGAAATTACGAATGCTCGAAATTATTCCATTAATTGCTCGTGCAAACGATTCGTACAGAAGAAAGATTGGAAAAAGATCGAATAATATAAATTTTTTAAATTATTCGGTGAAGCTGTATAATAGTACTTAAATAAAGTACAGCTTGATTAAATATCTCTATGTGAAAATTATAGTACGAAGACATATTTGACGAATGACGATGGTGTGAAATAAGGGAGGGAAAATTTGATAAGTGATATAGAGAAGGGAAATACGTATTATTTCAGTGCTTTATATATTATACGTACGACCGTTATATACGTATTCCATTCCATTAACCATATGCATCAACTTTTCCTCATTCCAGGTATTCTTGCATAAATTTAAAGTTTCTTCATTAAAACTGGGAACGGCTTATATAGACCCCGTCTCTCTCCCTCCCTTTTCTTCATTTAATTTAGATTACATTTGGATAACGATTATATATCTATACTTCAAACCCACAGTGTATTCCTTTGTTCTTTTGTTTCGAAAATATATTTCTTCATTTAAATATTTCTTATCTATAGCTTGGGGTATAGATTTGTTATATAAATTACTATAAAATGCATTTATCACGAGCAAAGATTCACGAGATTTTAAGAAAAGGAATAAATAAAAGAGGATTGAACTTTTTTTTCCTACATTGTTCGAAATGTAAGATTAAAAGGACTATTCGAGTTAAGAGGGCGCGTTAATCAAAGAATTTGTTTATCGCCTCACACTCGATGGGAATTTTTATGTAAATTTATTGCCTCGTTTATATTCAGGCTGGAATATAATGTCAGAGTTGTAAAGTTTTCGAATTCTGGAGGAATTTGAATCGAGTTAAGATGATGATTTTTGTCACGTTCCTGTTTACAAAGATGGCAATAATTTCGAACGTGGCAATAGTGTTTCTTTTTAGTCAAATTATACTTTTCTCCTTTCAAATCTCTTTTAAAGATCTCTGAAATTCTCATCTCTGATGTTCGGAATGACGATGTTGAGAAAAAGCCTCCTCTTCGAAACAAGGATTTTTATTATAATTATTTTTAGAAAAGAGATAATAATTTTTGAGAGATAAAGTAATAATAATATTTCTTGTGGTTGTATAATATATTTTATGCTTCACGCTGTATTCACTCGTAAATAGAATTCTCCATACCCGGGGAGGCCATAGTCCATGGCCTTAAGCAACTGACCGCTATAGCGCGTAATTACCTTCCAGACTGACATCATTTTCTCCTTTGAATGTCTTTATCGTACGTCGTCGTTTCGTGACTGAATTCGCGAATTCTTAATTAGCAACGATCTTCTGTGTATGTGTGTATATGTGTGTGTGTGTAGGAGGACAGATACGGGTCGCGAGGGCAAAGAAACTGAATTGCTCGTAGCACACGTACTTTTCGCGCGTATGTATGTGTGTGTATGTGTACGAAAGTGTTGCGAAGCCGATTAAAAATATTTGTGAAGGATTGTTTTTCACGAGATGTTATTCTTCCTTCGAATCCCAAATGCGTGCGTCACGCGTCGTAAAATAATTTGCCACGAATAGCGTAAAATTATTCGTGGAATAATTTTGTAATAATAATAATCATCTCGACGCGAGAATGATTCATCGTTCAGGGAAAAAAGCATCGAAAATGATATTGAATATTTCGTTGATCCACGTTGATACGATTTATTTAATGCTCGAAGAGAAAAAAAATGGGGAAAATGAATAATTCGTTTTCGTGGAGGCGAAATTACAATCACGCGAGCAGCATTCTTAATACATCTGGTAGGGATGATTTGGATGGTCGTTGAAAGGAGGTCGACCTCAAGACACGTCAATTAAATTAATACAAGTTAGAGCGGGCTTGGAACGAGGTCTCATTTCGCTCGACGAAGAATTTTATTTGCCTTCTTGATCCGACAAACAAGATCACTTTTCATTTGGACACATTTCTTCATTACGGCAAACGACCGTATATTCTCGCTATTCGCGCTGCCTGAGATCTGAAACGTTTCATTGTTCAATTGATTGATTATATAAATGGTACAGACGTTAAAGTTATTTTACGTTTATTTTATTTCCAAGACTTGGAAGAGAGCGTACAATTTATGATTTCTTTCTTTTCTTCTCAACGGCAATATCTCGCGAGTAACCATATATTCGATCTTTCGGAAAACGTTTCAAAGATCAGAGATTCCTCGCTTTTAACGATCCGTGCAAGCGTTGAAAGCATTTATTTATTTTCAAAGCAATTTTGCCGATTATAATACACGTTAAAGGCAAACGATTGAAAATAAATATTTAAATACCGAATAGAAATTCAATCAAAATCTTATTCATCCGCTTATTCTTCTCAAAATATTTTTCTTGCTTACAATAACAATAACGATCCTTGGGGCTAGAGAAATACTTGGAAATACCTTGTTTTCATATCGTTCCCCTTCGTTTTACTTCGCGCCTTGAGCATGGGAAGCATATACACGTTTCTCTCCAACTTTTTAAATATATATATATATTTTTCATAATATATTTTCAGGGAAGATTTT